CACCTTCTATCTATCAGTGCAACGGTCTCCTGCCTTGTTTTAGTTGTGGTCTGCATTTCATCGCCACATACCCCGTGAACTGCTCCCATGGCGCATGATTGTTTTGTGGTTGGTGCACATTGTCCGGTTGCCGCCCAGATTGCTGTTACCTTTCTTACACACATGCGTTGCTCAGATTTCGCTGGTACAAAGAACAATCACAAGCAAACACGCCTACGCCACTGACTTCTGTCCCCCAGCAACACCAACTCTTCTGTGGGTTGGCCACAACCTTGTTGGCCACTAGCCATGTACAAGAGCCACTACCCCCACCGGCATACGGGCCATTGTACACGTCTTTGTGCTCGCACACCCCACTCCCCTCTCCACCAGTTCCCAGCTATCGCCTGTAGTGCCTCCTTGTCGGTCTCCACTTTAGGGCACAGCACCCACACCGATGCCCGCCGCTGGTTTCACTCCCCTTTCCATGCACCATCCGTCAGCACTGGCGGCTGAAGTTGGGCAAGCCACCCCCTTGCATCACGCTGGTGTGCAATGGCATCGAGCCGCTCCTGCTCCCCAGCCGAGCTAGCCCTGGCCACCCCCACTAAGCGCGTTATTTCCTCTTGCCACACTTCAACAATCGTCTCAGATTCTTCGACCGCTTCATGGGCAGGGGTTGGAGCACAGGCGCGCGTGGCAAGCCTGCGCATGGCGTAGCGGAGTGCAACATCCACCGCCACTCGTCCTGTCCACCGCCTCTCCATGCCCTCTCACCTGCATCTCCTCACCCTCACATCTGCCCCCCCCCCTCCTCCCCCCAACATGCAATCCCCCTTCCCTCGCCCTCTCCCACACCTCTCCTAGCCTGCACTTACCCCTATCCTCCTCCTCTCTCCCCCTCTCTATGCACTCTCCTCCCTCTCTCCTCGCCCTCGGCTCCGCACCTCCTCACCCATATCTCACTCTCTGATTTGGGAATCTGACTCGGGAGTCTGGCCTGGGAATCTGACCTGGGAATCTGACATGGGAATATGACATGGGAATCTGACATGGCCCTCTGACCTGGGAATCTGACAAGACAACTCGAGTTGGGGATCTGCCTCAGGAATCTGACCTGGGAAAAGACTTGTGAACCAGTGACTTGGCAATCTGACTCGGGAGTCTGACCTGGGAATATGACCTGGGAATCTGACTGACATGGGAATCTGACCTGGGGATCTGATATGGGAATGTGACCCGGGGATCTAAGTTGGGGATCTGACCTGGGAATCTGACCTGGGAAAAGACTTCTGGATCTGACTTGGGAGTTTGACTCGGGAGTCTGACTTGGGAATCTGATTTGGGAATCTGACTCGGGAGTCTGACTTGGGAATCTGATTTGGGAATCTGACTCGGGCAACCGGGGGGGAAGCGGTGTCGAGGGTAAAAAGACCGGACACCGGGTCCCGGGGGAACGTCGCAAGGGGGGAACCTGAGACAGCCTCAGAACAGACAGCAAAACGCTCGTGCCCGGGGAACGTGGTGGTGACGCCGAGGTCCTGGAGACAGCCGACACCAACCAGGTTCCTCGAGCCCGAGGGAACTGCTGGACAGGGAAGGGACGTGGAGCTGCGAGCGACGACAGGACCCACAGAGGGGTCAGCGAGAGAGACAACAGCAGGCGTAGCAAGTGGCGTGAGCGCGGAACGGTCACGGAAGAAGCAGGCAGAAGCACCGGAGTCGAGAGTGAAGGACAGCGAAGCAGTGGCAGAGGCCGGGAACGGAGCCGGTGCAGAGACTAGGCTAGGCAAACTAGGCAGTCCTACGCCTGACGCAGCAGGGGAGGCTAAGCTACACAACGGTGCAACATCTAAACTAGAGTACACAGGGTAATAAGATTTAGCAACACTAGAAGCATCTGAATACAAGGCATGCAAAGCAGCACCTATCTGATCTATGTCTAACTCAAAGATCGGCACGCCCTGGCGGAGCAGGCTATGCCAGTCGGGGAGGTCCGGGGCCGGGCCAAAGCGACGACGAAAGAGATCGTCGAGGCGGCGGAAACAGCGGGCGGTCGGGTGCGGGCGGCGGCACAGAGTGCCGTGAAGAGGCCCGATCTGAAGCTGGTACTGGCAAGTGACAGCACCAGAGCCGCTGGTAGACACCGAGCTGCGCGGGCCGCCACCACGGCCACTACCTCCGGAGGTGCCGGGCCAACCGGAGGGAGACGGGCCCACGGCTGCGGCGACTGCTGCTGGGACGGCGGCTGCTGCTGGGACGGCAGCTGCTGCTGGGGCTGCTCCTGCTGCGGCTGGGGCTGCTGCTCCTGCCCACCAGTGGTAGTCCCCTCAGGCGGACTATCGTCACCACCACCACGACCACCACCACCTGCGCCACCACCCCTACCTCCCTGGCGACCACGGCCACCGCGGCGCGAGCGCTGCTGCGGGTGGACCGCAGCAGCCGTCTTGGTGAGAGGGGTCGCCGTGGCGACCGCAGCCGAAACTGACGTGGGAATCTGACATGGGACTCTGGCGTAGGAATCTGACATGGGAATCTGACCTGGGAATCTGACATGGGAATCTGTCTCGGGAATCTGACATGGGACTCTGACGTAGGAATCCGACCTGGGAATCTGACATGGGAATCTGACATGGCCCTCTGACCTGGGAATCTGACAAGACAACTCGGTGCGGGGATTTGCCTCAGGAATCTGACCTGGGAAAAGACTTGTGAACCAGTGACTTGGGAATCTGACTCGGGAGTCTGACCTGGGAATATGACCTGGGAATCTGACTGACATGGGAATCTGACCTGGGGATCTGACATGGGAATCTGACATGGCCCTCTGACCTGGGAATCTGACCTGGGAATCTGTGTAGGGGATCTGCCTCACGGATCTAACCTGGGAAAAGACTTGGGAATCTGACTTGGGAATCTATCTTGGGAATCTGACTTGGGAATCTAACTTGGGAATCTGACTTGGGAATCTGACTTGGGAATCTGACTTGGGAATCTGACTTGGGAATCTGAGTTGGGGATCTGTCTCAGGAATCTGACCTGGGAAACGACTTGGCCATGTGACTTGGGAATCTGACTCGGGAATCTGTCAAGGGCCTCAGACCTGGGCATCTGTCATGGGAATTTGTATTGGGAATCTGATTAGGGAATCTGTCTTGGGACTTTGACTCGGGAATCTGACTCGGGATTATGACTCCCGAAACAGATTCAGGAATCTTTCCGCCCTCTCATCTGCCCTCCCTCACCCTCTCACATACATCTCTCCCCACCCTCGGTTACCCCTCTCATCTTCCACTCTCCCACTCTCTCTATGTTCTCTCCTCCCTCTCTCCTCGCCCTCGGTTACCCCTCTCCTCTTCCTCTATCCTCCTCTCTCCATGCACTCTACTCCCTCTCTCCTCGCCCTCGGTTACACCGCTCCCCTTCCTCTCCCCCCCTCTCTCTATGCACTCCCTCTCTCCTCGCCCTATGTTACCCCTCTCCTCTTCCCCTCTCCCACTCTCTCTATGCTCAGTCCTCCCTCTCTCCTCGCCCTCGGTTACCCCGATCCTCTTCCTCTCTCCCCCTCTCTCCATGCACTCTCATTCCTCTCTCCTCGCTCTCGGTTACCTCGATCCTCTTCCCCTCTCCCTCTCTCTCTATGCACAGGTTACCCTCTCTCCGAGTCCTCATCTCCTAATCTCCTCACCTATATCACCCTGTCATCAGCTCCTCACCCTCTCCCGAACCCGTCGTCCTTCCTTGTGCGCACCCTGCCATCCCCCTCTTTTCTGCACATCCCCCCCTTCTCATTTCACTCTCCTCACCCTAACATCCGCATCGTCTACCCCCCTCTCATTCCTCTCTCATGACCCTCCCGCCCACCATTCCACGACCTCTCGTCCGCCTCTCGTCGCCCTCCCATCCGCCTTCCCCCTCCAGCTCATCCTCCTCTTCTATGCCCTCGCTTACCCCTCTCCTCGCCTGCACATCCGCCTCCTCTCGGCGCGTCACCCGCCTCTCCCGCCCTCTCATCCGCCTTCCGTCACCCTCTCCCGCACCGTTCACCCTCTCTCGCACCGTTCACCCTCTCCCGCACCGTTCACCCTCTCCCGCACCGTTCACCCTCTCCCGCACCGTTCACCCTCTCCCGCACCGTTCACCCTCTCCCGCACCGTTCACCCTCCCCATACCCTCAACCTCACGCGGCTCCGTCACTCCCTCTCCGCGCCATCCGCTCCCCCTCACCCCTGTCCGTTCCCCCTATCCTCGCCGTCCGTTCCTCCTTTGCTCGCTGTCCCTCCCCCCCTATCCTCGCCGTCCGTTCCTCCTTTGCTCGCCATCCGTTCCCCTCCTCCTTGCAATGCGTCCCCCGGTCTCCTCGCTATTCGCGGCACCCTCTCCTTGTGGCCCACGCAGTTTAACTCCGAATTTATTCATGCGTTTCGCTCTGGTTCCTACTGGCGGATCTTTCTGTAGATTCGCATCGCAAACGACAGCTTCCTGGGCTCGTTTACGCCGCGTTTAGCTCGTCCCTTTTTGCGAGGCGGTATGACGCATGTCCTGGTCTCCTGCGCGATTTTTAAAAGCTTCTCCCCGTCCGCGTGTGGGTTGGTCGTCGATGCACGCGGCGGTTTTGTTTTTTTGTTCTGTGCTGTGGCGGCTATGGGTTCCTAAGCTTGTGTGACTATGGGTTCATCTCCTCTTTAGAAACGTGAAGCACACCCATGGAGCTCTTGAACGACGGGTTCGGCGTTGTAGTCGCACAAAACCAGATCTGGTTGAGTTGTGCGACTTCGGTTCTTGTCGCGCCTTGTTTCCCCGAAGTCGTGGGGATGCTTGGTGCGTCGTGGCCCTCTCGCTATGTTTCAAATAGTCGCAACACGCTTCTTTTCGTTACGCTTGGTGCAGTGTGCTCCAGTCTGGGCCGTTTATTCTGACCACAAAAAAAAGGTCAATTTTCAAGACCGTCCAAGATGTGCTTTTTTAGCCTGTGGCTTTTCAACAAGTTGCGTGGTGCTGGTTTGAGTGAACGTTATTTGCGAGTGAAACATAAGCACGTGGCATCCCAAACATTTTGCGATGCTTGGCACATGCACCCAAGTCTGACGCGAGGATGGTGAGACTGGGCAGCGCTTCAGGCAAAATGACGAGTGTGACGCGAGGTTAGTCTGACACGAGGCTGTAGGAACTCGCCCTTAGTATCCCTAATGTGTCAGCCTTGAATGCACCAGTCGCCTCAGCATCACGAAAAGCCATGCCCCAAGCATCACAATGCTGTGCTGCATTGTGCCACTGGTATGTCTAGTCATGCTTAGTCGAGTCAAGCTTAGCCCCTATTTCTCTTGTCAAGTCTACAACGCTTTTCCCGCTGAGATAATGTGTGCGGCACACCGGCATGTACGTCTCCGCACCGCCCACCAGCCGTGTCTTAGTCTCCTGCGTCTTGCGCAGTGTGAAAGAAGCCGGCCGCCCGCACATCTCGCACCGGGCGGCGAGCTTTGTCACGGAGTCGGCGTGTGGAATCAGATCCAACAACTCACCAAAGCGTTTTCTGTAAGGCAGCAAAGGGAGGCGAAAGCACGGGGTAGAGGGAAGGAGGGAGAGTGACTGAGTTGGGAAATGGGGGGGGATGAAGTGGAGAGGTGCATGGAGACACTCACATCCATGCATCATGAATGATGTGGATAGATCCATAGCCATGCATCTGCTTGGCAGCAGGATCGACACCACCTGCCCTGGCCCACATGCACCAGCCCCACCACTTGCAGTCAGTGTCCCACGCGCCACGCCACGCCTCAGCATGGAGCGACGCATTCAGCGCATGCCAGCCCACATGCATTTGACGCGCCTCAAAAGTCCAAGCCACGCGGCAGATACCTCCGGAAGTCGCCGTCCAGCCCCGCGATGAACAGTGTCTTGCCATCATAGTCTGCCGCCCGCAACGAGAAGTCCACCAGCCCGTGAATGAACTGCGCCTCGTCCACACCGATCACCAACGCCTGCAGGGCAGGGTGGACAGGCCGGGGGGTGGGGGGGGGGAGAAGGGGAGGGTGGGTTGGGTTGGGAATATGCGCTGAGGGGACTCACCCCCGCCCACCAACCCCTGAATGAACTGCGCCTCGTCCACACCTATCACCCATGCCTGCAGGGTTGGGGGTCGGGCCGGGGGGGTTGGGGGGGGGGTTTGGGAATATGCTTTGAGGGGACTCACCCCCAGTCCACCAATCAAGCACCACTGTGACACTCTGTCTCCCAAGCATCCTCCTCACCTGGTAGCACGTGTCGCTGTGCTGTGCATCTGTGAGCTGAGCACCCCCTGCAGGGTCTTGACTGCAGGGCAGGCACGCCATGGCCACCCAACCCGGTCAAGCCACACACACCACATCATGCATCAGTCAAGCAGCACAGCACAGAGGCACCCCTCTATGTGGCAGCCATCCCCACCTGGTCGTACACCTCTCTGTGCGGCCCGTCTGCCAGCAGCACCTCCTGCAGGGTCTTCACCGACAGATACTACATTGGGGTCCGTCGTGCCACACACCACAGCATCAACCAAACATCCCGGGACACCCTGAGCCTCCAGGTGGCATCCCCACCTGGTCGTACGCCTCTCTATGCGGCCCGTCTTCCAGCACTTCCTGCAGCGACTTCACCGACAGGCATGCCATGGCCGCCCCGTCGTGCGACACCACTGCGTCCTTGGCGTAGCGCGTGTCGATGCGGGACTTCACCAGCAGCACGCGCCTGGGTTTAAGATTGGGAGGTTTAAGGGTTTGGGGTTTGGGGGTTCGGGGTTTAAACACATAAGGCATGCTGGCTGGTGAGAGCGACACCAATGCGCTCTTGGCATACCGCGTGTCAATGAGTGACTTCACTAGAAGCACGTGCCTGCAGGGAGGGTTGCAGAATGGTTTAAGCACAAGGGAGACACCACTGCGGCTTTGGCATACCGCGTGTTGACGCGCGACGTCACTAGAAGAACGTGCCTGGATCAGGGTTTAAGGGGGGTTTGGGGGTCAGGTTTTTGGGTTTGGGTTTGGGTCCGGGTTTGGGTTTGGGTTTGGGCACAGAAAGGCACTGAGTTAGGAAAGAGAGAGACACCACCGAGACTTTGGCGCGAGGCAGGTCGACACGCCACTTCACTAGAAGAACGTGCTTCTATGACGGTTGGGAAGGGTTTAGGGATAGTGACGCATGCAGCATTGAAGCAGCACGCTTGAATTGTGGGCAGGCAGAGGGCGTTGCGTGCGAATCACTTCGTGCATCCCCATCCCCATTCCCGCCTTTACGGTCGCGTGTAAACCCTTTTCGTGCCCCTGTCAACTCCCGCACCTGCCTCTTCCCATCTCCTCCTGCATCCGCGTTAGAAGCGCCGTCGTCTTCCCCGCGAACATCGGCCCCGTAATCACGTGGATCGCCCCGTCGCCCCGCGCCCCCCGCGACTCTTCCCCTTTCCCTTCTGACTCTGCCCCCGCGCTTACTTCCGCGGGTGCTTCCGCGGATGCTGCTGCGGGGCCCGTTACAGGTGCGTCTTCCGCGGTAGCAGCACTGGCGCCCGCTACTGGCACGTCTGCTACAGGCACGTCGGAAGCAGCAGCACCGGCAGCAGCCGTCCGCGTTCGCCGGCGGGTGGGCGGCTTAGCCGCGGCAGCATGCGAGTCGGGGGAAGCGGGGGTAAACCCCTGCGACTTCAGGCCGGCAGCGGATCTAACACGGGAAGCCCTGCTGCTGCTGCTGCTGCTGCTGCTGATGCTGCTGGTACCTTTCTTGGAGTCGCCTGAAGCGGCGGCGCTAGAACCGGTTGAGCTGCTGCCGCTCGGTCGACCCGTCGCCGCTGCTGCTGCGGTTGTTGGCGAGAGACGCGTGCTGATTCGCCGAGGGAAACTGGACGAAAGGTGCGGATCGGTTGGGATCGGTGAAAGAGATGGTCGCCAGCTGGTCGTAGAGAGTCGCACGGCGACGTGCGAAATGAGGGACATTTGAAGACGCGCGCAGGAGGAGAGCGCGCGGCAGGGAAGCATCGTCGAAGTGATCGTCTGATACTCGCCGAAGGAATGGCAGAGGAAACGATACCGGCGATAACGAACGACTTTTAGCGAACGTGGCGAACAAATCTAACGACAGCAAGCGACAGCCGCGCGGATAAGACTGCGCGTGGCGATAGATGAAAATGAGCAGGGATCCATCGCCACCGGGGTCCCTAGAAGCGTAAAACAAGTAAGCTAGCAAGCTGGCCCTACAGCGTGCACCACCACCTCGAGAGTGCCGTGCTTGACGTTCAGAACGGTGCGTTTGAAACTAGAACGGTTAGGTAGGTTTCTGATGATCACGAACACCACATGCACGAACGCCCTGAAGCCCATCACAGGCAACAGAAGGCAGAGCCCTTAGGGAGCACCACTGGCTGAATTGGTTGCAGGGTGCTAGGCGATCTGGTACGGTGCAGCACGATCGTACCCTCTCTCACACGGTGCAACAACCGCTCACTTCGGGAGCCAAGGAGCACTCAATCCTCCCCCCTGTCCGTGCTGCAGTGAATTCCACTGTCCTAAGAGGACGTTTTGGCATCAATTCCAGGTGTAGTTACCCGATTACCTATTAAAACCGTACCCCGTACCGTTCACGTGGACACTAACACCGTCCTCGCCGTGATTGACGGAATGGCCTGATGTATCGCGGAACGTGAAGCCTGCTTTGGGTCACACAAGTGAGGGTACGCGTGTGGTACGAATCACGTCCCTCGAATCAGGATACCCTTGAATTGTTTTCGCGAATTTACGTTCGCAACACAGGCACGTGAAAAATTGTGGGATCCAATTCATGACGAAGTCTTTGGCGACTTCTGTAACGTCTGGGCAAATCGCCAAATGTGTTTGTCGAATGGATCTGGTACTGCGGGCGAACTGTTTCGCGAGGCATTTTCTGCGCATCAGTGGTGACGTGGCGATACGTGGACACGCTCAGAACGTTTATGCTTGCGGATACACCCTTGCTGTTATTTGTGAAATACGTTCCGAAACTGTCAAAACGCCAAAAAGTCCTCTTGGGACACGCCCTCAGCAGCACCCAGCATGGAGTGACTCGAGTCGAGTTACCCTCATGGACAACGCGACACCATCCCCTGCTGCAGCATTCAGCAATCACCACACTGCACTGCACTGTACCACTCCGCGGGTTACTCGCTGGCTCAACTGCAGAAGGTCTGGAGGGACTCGGCTCGCGTTTCGCTAGGTTTGACGCCAGATGTCGGTCTGACGCCATTCCACTAGCAGCGTGTCTGGGAACACGCGGGAGGCGTACCAAGTTGCAGGATCAAGCGAGGGACTCTGACATTCTGTCGCGGAGCCGCTGCTCATCGCTATGGCGGCTTCCGCCCACTCGCGATGCGTCGCGGTTTCGAATCCTCACGTCGTCAATTACGCTTCCGCCATCAGACCGTGTCTCCTCGCATTAGGATCCCCGCAACTCCCCGCCTCCTCCGCCGCGTTCCGCTCTCTCCCCCTCATCTCCTTCCCCCTTCTCCCCTCGCTCCGCTTCCCTTCCGCCGCTCCCAGCGCCATTCCGCGCACGGCGCAAATCAAGCTCCGCATTAGTAGCGCGGGGAATGGGACCTTTCTAAGGAGAGAGTGGGTCGGACTTAGGAGTCAGGGACTAGGGGGGAGGCGGGGATTGCGGAGGAGTCATGGATTAGGGTTTTCAGCGCGGAAGGGGAGTCGGGGGGATGGCGCGGGCGCGCATTTGGCGCGGTCGGCGGAAGATCCGGCTGAATTTCCCAGGAAGAGAGGCATACGGGGGAGTGCGGAGCGGAGGGATAAGGGGAAGGGGAAGCGGGGAGGAGGAACACGTGGAAACGGCGGGGCTGATAGCGGATCACTTAATAACGGATCGGACAGCTGGAGATCCCAAGGCTTGCCGTCCTCGTCCCTTGCGTGGAACGACGAGACAAGTGAATCTGGCAGCGATCATAACGCGTCCAGTGCTTATAACGAAGCAGGTTATAACGAAGCCGGTTACAGCGAGGACGAACGGAACGTGACTAGAACGGTGGACCTTCTAATGGCGCGATTCGAGTCGCTCGAAAAGCAGAGAGAGGGGGGTGCAAGTGGCGCCGCGATTGGCGCCGTGAAAGGCGGAGGCATGACGCGGTTCGAGATGGATGACGATGAGGTGGAGGAGGAGGGGGGCGGGGAGGACCTGGAGGAACTAGAAGAGGGGGTGCTGGATGTGATAGTAGGGGAGAGTGACTATGAGGAGGAGTACGAGGAAGAGGAGGAGGAGGAAGAGGAGGAGGAGGAGGAGGAGGAGGAGGAGGAGGGAGAGGAGGAGGAGGGAGAGGAAGGGGAGGGGGAGGAGGAGCGGATGAGTGGGATGAGCATGACGGAGAGGGTGCACGCGCTGCAGATGCGCGTGCAGCACGCGCAGTACGCTGCTGCTGATGCTGCTGCTGCAGCTGGCGCCACCATCACTTCTCGTGACCTGGCGAGGCTGTTTGACCACCCCATCGACAAGTTCCAGGTGAGTGAAGCAACCACAGCCGTTGGATCCCCGTCTTGGTGGATGAATCATGAAGCCAGCCGTTAAGCCCTATCTAAGCGCCTCAGGATGCCCTTGTTCGATTGCAGCTGTTGCGGCCATAGTGGCTTGCGCTTCAGCGAGGCCGTTCAACAAGTTCCAGGTGAGGTGAGGTCAGCTGTTGCGCTAGCAGCAGCCATGGGGCCATCATCCGTGGTCGGGCCAGCAGTGCTCACAGCCAGTTCCTTCTTTCCCTCCTTGCCTGAACTCGCTGCCCATGCGCGGCCCATTTCGGCCATTCTACAGAATATCTGGCATCCCATTAAAGCTCCCTTAGGACTGTGCAGGAGTTTGTTCAACCCTAAACCTTGAAAGCCCAACCCCGAGCCTTCAACCCGAAACCCTCCACCCTGAGCCCTCAACCCTTACCCTCCATCCTATTCCCTGCAGCGAGTGGCACCCACCAGCAGCGGCAAGACGCTCGTGGGGGAGGCGTGTGCACTTGGTTATACCCTGCCTTCAACCCTGAGCCTGAACCTCCAACCCTCAACCCTGCACACTCACCCTGCAGCGAGTGGCAATCGAAGCGTTCCTGCGGGGCTCGTCCGTGGTGGTGTGTGCGCCCACCAGCAGCGGCAAGACGCTTGTGGGGGAGGCGGCTGCTGCCGCCACGATGGCGCGGGGAGGCAGGCTCATCTACACCACGCCGCTCAAGGCGCTGTCCAACCAGAAGCTGAGGGACTTCCGGTATTTCTTCCGCCCTCCATCACCCCCCTTCCTTCCGCCCATTCTCCCTTGCTACCCTGCCTGCTTTCCCCCTGCTTTGTCCCTGATTTCCCCCAGCTTTCCCCCAGCTTTCCCCCAGCTTTCCCCCAGCTTTCCCCCAGCTTTCCCCCAGCTTTCCCCCAGCTTTCCCCCAGCTTTCCCCCAGCTTTCCCCCAGCTTTCCCCCAGCTTTCCCCCAGCTTTCCCCAGCTTTCCCCCAGCTTTCCCCCAGCTTTCCCCCAGCTTTCCCCCAGCTTTCCCCCAGCTTTCCCCCAGCTTTCCCCCAGCTTTCCCCCAGCTTTCCCCCAGCTTTCCCCCAGCTTTCCCCCAGCTTTCCCCCAGCTTTCCCCCAGCTTTCCCCCAGCTTTCCGCAAGCTTTCCCCCAGCTTTCCCCCTGCTTTCCCCCTGCTTCCCCCAGCTTTCCCCCCAGCTTCTTCCCCCAGCTTTCCCCAGCTTTCCCCCAGCTTTCCCCCAGCTTTCCCCCAGCTTTCCCCCAGCTTTCCCCCAGCTTTCCCCCAGCTTTCCCCCAGCTTTCCCCCAGCTTTCCCCCAGCTTTCCCCAGCTTTCCCCCAGCTTTCCCCCAGCTTTCCCCAGCTTTCCCCCAGCTTTCCCCCAGCTTTCCCCCAGCTTTCCCCCAGCTTTCCCCCAGCTTTCCCCCAGCTTTCCCCCAGCTTTCCCCCAGCTTTCCCCCAGCTTTCCCCCAGCTTTCCCCCAGCTTTCCCCCAGCTTTCCGCAAGCTTTCCCCCAGCTTTCCCCCTGCTTTCCCCCGCTTCCCCAGCTTTCCCCCAGCTTTCCCCCAGCTTTCCCCAGCTTTCCCCCAGCTTTCCCCCAGCTTTCCCCCAGCTTTCCCCCCAGCTTTCCCCCAGCTTTCCCCCAGCTTTCCCCCAGCTTTCCCCCAGCTTTCCCCCAGCTTTCCCCCAGCTTTCCCCCAGCTTTCCCCCAGCTTTCCCCCAGCTTTCCCCCAGCTTTCCCCCAGCTTTCCCCCAGCTTTCCCCCAGCTTTCCCCCAGCTTTCCCCCAGCTTTCCCCCAGCTTTCCCCCAGCTTTCCCCCAGCTTTCCCCCAGCTTTCCCCCAGCTTTCCCCCAGCTTTCCCCCAGCTTTCCCCCAGCTTTCCCCCAGCTTTCCCCCAGCTTTCCCCCCCCCCCCCCAGCTTTCCCCCAGCTTTCCCCCAGCTTTCCCCCAGCTTTCCCCCAGCTTTCCCCCAGCTTTCCCCCAGCTTTCCCCCAGCTTTCCCCCAGCTTTCCCCCAGCTTTCCCCCAGCTTTCCCCCAGCTTTCCCCAAGCTTTCCCCCAGCTTTCCCCCTGCTTTCCCCCTGCTTCCCCCAGCTTTCCCCCAGCTTTCCCCAGCTTTCCCCCAGCTTTCCCCCAGCTTTCCCCCAGCTTTCCCCCAGCTTTCCCCAGCTTTCCCCCAGCTTTCCCCCGCTTCCCCAGCTTTCCCCCAGCTTTCCCCCAGCTTTCCCCCAGCTTTCCCCCAGCTTTCCCCCAGCTTTCCCCCAGCTTTCCCCAGCTTTCCCCCAGCTTTCCCCCAGCTTTCCCCCAGCTTTCCCCCAGCTTTCCCCCAGCTTTCCCCCAGCTTTCCCCCAGCTTTCCCCCAGCTTTCCCCCAGCTTTCCCCCCAGCTTTCCCCCAGCTTTCCCCCTGCTTTCCCCCAGCTTTCCCCCAGCTTTCCCCCAGCTTTCCCCCAGCTTTCCCCCAGCTTTCCCCCAGCTTTCCCCCAGCTTTCCCCCAGCTTTCCGCAAGCTTTCCCCCAGCTTTCCCCCTGCTTTCCCCCTGCTTCCCCCAGCTTTCCCCCAGCTTTCCCCCAGCTTTCCCCCAGCTTTCCCCCAGCTTTCCCCCAGCTTTCCCCCAGCTTTCCCCCAGCTTTCCCCCAGCTTTCCCCCAGCTTTCCCCCAGCTTTCCCCCAGCTTTCCCCCAGCTTTCCCCCAGCTTTCCCCAAGCTTTCCCCCAGCTTTCCCCCTGCTTTCGCCCTGCTTCCCCCAGCTTTCCCCCAGCTTTCCCCCAGCTTTCCCCCAGCTTTCCCCCAGCTTTCCCCCAGCTTTCCGCAAGCTTTCCCCCAGCTTTCCCCCTGCTTTCCCCCAGCTTTCCCCCAGCTTTCCCCCTGCTTTCCCCCAGCTTTCCCCCAGCTTTCCCCCAGCTTTCCCCCAGCTTTCCCCCAGCTTTCCCCCAGCTTTCCCCCAGCTTTCCCCCAGCTTTCCGCAAGCTTTCCCCCAGCTTTCCCCCTGCTTTCCCCCTGCTTCCCCCAGCTTTCCCCCAGCTTTCCCCCAGCTTTCCCCCAGCTTTCCCCCAGCTTTCCCCCAGCTTTCCCCCAGCTTTCCCCCAGCTTTCCCCCAGCTTTCCCCCAGCTTTCCCCCAGCTTTCCCCCAGCTTTCCCCCAGCTTTCCCCCAGCTTTCCCCAAGCTTTCCCCCAGCTTTCCCCCTGCTTTCCCCTGCTTCCCCAGCTTTCCCCCAGCTTTCCCCCAGCTTTCCCCCAGCTTTCCCCAGCTTTCCCCCAGCTTTCCGCAAGCTTTCCCCCAGCTTTCCCCCTGCTTTCCCCCAGCTTTCCCCCAGCTTTCCCCCAGCTTTCCCCCAGCTTCCCCCAGCTTTCCCCCAGCTTTCCCCCAGCTTTCCCCCAGCTTTCCCCCAGCTTTCCCCCAGCTTTCCCCCTGCTTCCCCCAGCTTTCCCCCAGCTTTCCCCCAGCTTTCCCCCAGCTTTCCCCCAGCTTTCCCCCAGCTTTCCCCCAGCTTTCCCCCAGCTTTCCCCCAGCTTTCCCCCAGCTTTTCCCCAGCTTTCCCCCAGCTTTCCCCCAGCTTTCCCCCAGCTTTCCCCCAGCTTTCCCCCAGCTTTCCCCCAGCTTTCCCCCAGCTTTCCCCCAGCTTTCCCCCTGCTTCCCCCTGACTCCCCCCTGCTCTCCATGCCACCCCCCATTCTCCTGCTTCCACTTCTTCCTGCAATTCTCTTGCCTCGTCCATCCACCCACCCCGCATTACCAATGTCCCACTGCCACGTGGCACCATAGGGTGAAGTTTGGGGAGGGCAACGTGGGGCTGCTGACTGGTGACGTGGCAGTGAACAGGGACGCGCCGATTCTTGTGATGACCACTGAGATTCTGCGCAACATGCTCTACACCAGGTGTGTGACTATAGCGGGATGCTCGACACCAGGTGTGTGACTGTAGCGGGATGCTTTACACCAGGTGTGTGACTATAGCAAGATGCTCGACACCAGACCAGTTGTGTCTGACTAGCGGGATGCTCGACACCAGGTGTGACTAAAATTATGTGCTCGTACCAAGTGTGCATCGCGTCCTAGTACCAGGTGTGCGTCGCGTGCTCATCCTCGTCATTATCTGCAATGACGCATTCCAGAAGCGTGGCACGCGCGTTGTTCAAAGTGTGACGAGAAGTGCAAGGTCCGATTCAATTTGCCTCGCCCCTTCAACTTTCCCACCTCTCTCAAGCGGTCCCTCTATGACTGGATTACTTGTGTACATGCTAAGGTACATGCTAAGGTACATGCTAAGGTACATGCTAAGGTACATGCTAAGGTACATGCTAAGGTACATGCTAAGGTACATGCTAAGGTACATGCCAAGGTACATGCTAAGGTACATGCTAAGGTACATGCTAAGGTACATGCTAAGGTACATGCTAAGGTACATGCTAAGGTACATGCTAAGGTACATGCTACGGTACATGCTAAGCTACATGCTAAGGTACATGCTAAGGTACATGCTAAGGTACATGCTAAGGTACATGCTAAGCTACATGCTAAGCTACATGCTAAGCTACATGCTAAGCTACATGCTAAGCTACATGCTAAGGTACATGCTAAGGTACATGCTAAGCTATATGCTAAGCTACATGCTAAGGGACATGCTAAGGTACATGCTAAGGTACATGCTAAGGTACATGCTAAGGTACATACATGCTAAGGTACAGGATTACAGGGTGAGTTCAGAACACACAGAACCTACTGGAGCTCTCCACATGCCCTCCATCTACAGGGTGTTGAGAATTCTGAATAACACCCCGCAAAATCAAGGTGAGTACAGAGCACACAGAACACACAGGGCCTACGAGAGCTCTCCGTCTCTACCTCTTCCCTCTCCTCCTGCCCCCCCCCCACCCCCACACGCTCCCTCCCACTCCTCCCCATTCTCTTCTTCCCACCAGCCTCGGCGCGGTAGAGGCTGAGGGGGAGAGGTTGAGGGGGAGAGGTTGAGAGGGAGAGGTTGAGGGGGGGAGGTTGATGGGGGGAGGTTGAGGGGGGGAGGTGGAGAGAGGGAGGTGGAGTGGAGGCGGTGGTGTTGGACAAGGGCACTACCATGTGCTTTTCCGTGTTCATGTTCGCCCCACTTCTACCTCCCCCTTAATTGCTAGTCTGGGTGCAGGGGAGACGGAGGAGGAGAGGCTGAGGGAGGTGGAAACGGTGGTGCTGGACTAGTGGCATGAATCATGATCCCCCTCCCCTCCCTCTCTCTCCCCTCCCCGCATCCTATGGCTGTGTGCTCTCTCTCCCCTACCCGCCCTATCCCTCCCTCTCGCGCCACCAGTCTGGGTGCAGGGGAGGCGGAGGAGGAGAGGCTGAGGGGCGTGGAGGCGGTGGTGCTGGACGAGGTGCACTACCTGTCGGACATCTCGCGAGGCACCGTGTGGGAGGAGACGGTGAGATTGGGGTGGGTGTGGTGAGGTTGCTGCCTCCTATGTCTGGTCTAGTCTTACTCTCAGCCTTTCTAGCGCTGAATGCACTGGTGCTGGATGAGGTGCACTACCTGTCGGACATCTCGTGCAGCACCGTGTGGGAGGAGACGGTGAGAGGCAGGGTGATGGGGTTTGTAATGGGCCATGTGATGGGGCTTGTGATGGGGCATGTGATGGGGCGTGTGATGGGGCGTGTGATGGGGCATGTGATGGGCATGTGATGGATGGGGCATGTGATGGGGCATGCGATGGGGCATGTGATGGGGCATGTGATGGGTGGGGCATGTGATGGGGCATGCGATAGGGCATGCGATGGGGCATGTGATTGGGCGTGTGATGGGGCATGTGATGGGGCATGTGATGGGGCGTGTGATGGGGCATGTGATGGGGCATGTGATGGGGCATGTGATGGGGCATGTGATGGGGCATGTGATGGGGCATGGGATGGGGCGTGTGATGGGGCATGCGATGGGGCATGCGATGGGGCATGTGAAATGATGGGGCGTGTGATGGGGCGTGTGATGGGGCATGTGATGGGGCATGCGATGGGGCATTTGATGGGGCATGGGATGGGGCATGTGATGGGGCATGTGATGGGGCATGTGATGGGCGAAATGCGGGGATCTGATTTGCACATGGATTTGCCAACAAAAAAAAAAAAAAAAAACCAGGAATTTCGAAAACAAAAAAAAACGTTTTTTTTTTATTATTATTATTATTATTATGGCCGAAAAAAGCGATCGTATTATACGACCCGTATAATGCGATTACCGTATTTTTGCACCTTGGATGGGGCATGTGATGGGGCATGGGATGGGGCATGTGATGGGGCATGCGATGGGGCATGCGCTTTCCTGATACGTACTGCGAGATTTACTTCTCCATCATCCGTGAGAATCTGTGCTCGAGATTTCAGCCCAGTGGGGGGGGTGGTGGTCAGCCAGCGCCAGCACCAGCGCCATCCACCACCGCCTGCATCAAGGCCATATGTACTGAGAGTTTTCACTTCTCCATCACCCGTGCCGCCTAACTCAAAGCCAGTCAGCTCGCGTGTCCCTCTCTCCACCACTGTTGCCAGCCCAGATGGACTCTTCCTATCACTACACTCCACCCTCCCTCTCCCCTCCTCTCTGACCCTCCCTTCCGCTCCTCCCTCCCCTCCCGTTCTTCCCCTCTCCCCTCTCCCCTCTCCCCTCTCTCCTCTCATCGGCAGGTGATCTACTGCCCCAAGCCCATGCAGTACTCTTTTCCATGCCTCTCCACCCCTTTTCCCAACATGCACACACACACCCCTACCCCAACACCCAATCCTCCCCACCCTCTCCCCCCTTTGCAGGTGATCTACTGCCCCAAGTCCATCCAGCTCGTGTGTCTCTCTGCCACCGTTGCCAACCCAGATGAACTGGCTGACTGGATCGGCAGGGTGAGTGAGTCAGACATACGGTGGTGGGGGGTGAGATGGTTAGGGCAATGGCAGGATGGGATGGTTGTGGGAGGGTGGGATGGTTGTGGGAGGGTGGCATCAAAATCATGTCAGGAAAATGAAACATCTCTATCTCTGCTATGCTTCCTCCTCTGGTCCACCACCTGTTCCTCCCTCCCTCTCTCCCTCTCTCAAGCGGTCCTGGCCATTGAATAAGACCTGAGTACATGCTAAGCAAGGGGCATCGAAGAGCGAGGAGAACGAGAGATTGCAGCAACGAGAAAACACCAGAAAATCGCAGCTGGCCCCAAGCCGATGGGATCTAGCCAGAACCTATAATTGGGCATCAGCCCTGATCTTCCCCTCCCACAGCCTTCCCACCCCCCTGCAGCCCCAACTAAGGGTCTCCCTTTCTCCCTCTCTCCCTCTCTCCCTCTCTCCCTCTCTCCCTCTCTCCCTCTCTCCCTCTCTCCCTCTCTCCCTCTCTCCCTCTCTCCCAATCTCTCTCCACACTCTCCCCCTCAACTGCCCCTGTTCCTCCCTGCCTTCCTCTTGCCATCTTCACCTCCCTCGTTTCTTCGTACATCCCGCCCCGCATGCCCCTTGCCACCAACCTCTGCCCGAAGAGCTCATCGTCTCTCAGCACCGCCCAGTGCTGCTCAAGTGGCTGCTAAGCAACCTGTCTCCTCCCCCCTTCCTTCTCAACACCCTCTCTCCCCTCTCCCTCCCGCCACCAACCCCACCAGGTGCATGGGCGCACAGAGCTCATCACCTCACAGCACCGCCCAGTACCGCTCAAGTGGCACTTCTCCACGCGCTACCGCATGCTGCCTCTGCTGGACAACAAGGGCCGCGATATCAACCCGTACGTCCCGCCTCTGTCCCTTTCATTGGGGAGGCGCGAGTATCAGTACAGGGGGGGGCATTATTCCTTCTCCCCATTATTCCCTCCCCCCTTCCCCCCCCATTCCCTGCAGTGCCCCCCTCTCTCCCCCACCCCTCCCCCGATCCCCTGCTGTGTTCCCCTCTCTTCCCTCCACCAGTCAGCTGCTGTTGCGCCCGTCTGGCGACCCCTTTTTGGAGGAGCTCCAGTCCGGTAGGATGCTGCCACGTGGCAGTGGGAGATCTTTCCAGCGGTGGGATGCAGACGATCGAAGCAGCAGCAGGCGAGGCAGGGAAGGAGGCAGGGATGGAGCCTCCAAAGGGTTTGCAGGGCGGGGAGCAGACAGGGAAGCAGGGCGGGGAGGGAAGGGGGGGAAGAGCGGAAAGGGGATCGCGGCGGCTTTGTCTCGTAGCGGGGGAGGGTTAGCCGAGCTGGTGGGGAGGGGGCGGCGAGGGGAGGCGAGGAGCCGAGTGGAGGAGATGTCGGCGCAGCAGGTGCAGCAGCTGTGGCGGCGGCAGGTGCCAAGAGTGAGGGATACACTCGAGCAGCTGAGGAGAAAAGACATGCTGCCGGCCATTTGGTTCATCTTCAGTAGGAGAGGGTGCGACACGGCCGTGTCGTTTGTGCGGGATATTAATCTCCTGTTGCCCAGCGAACAGGTGAGGAAAGGCCGGGGGGGGGGGGGGGGGGAGGGGACTGAGTGGAAACAGGCGAGTGGATGAACTGTGGTGAGAGGGCACAGGTGAGCTTTGAGTCGACTCAAAGAGTGGATGAACTGTGGCGAGAGGGCACAGGTGAGCTGAGCCGAGTGGAGGAGATGTCGGCGCAGCAGGTGCAGCAGCTGTGGCGGCGGCAGGTGCCGCGGGTGAGGGATACTCTTGAGCAGCTGCGGAGAAAGGACATGCTGCCGACGATTCGGTTCATTTTTAGTTGCAGGCGGTGTGATATGGCAGTGTCGTTTGTGCGGGATACCAACTTGCTGTCGCCTAGCGAACAGGTGAAGGGGAGTGGGGGGGCGTGACTGCATGATTCCCATAGCACTGAATCGCACACAACAGGTGAGGGGGGGGACACTGGAGCAGCTGAGGCGCAAGGACGTGCTGCCAGCCATCTGGCTTTTCTTTGGCCGGAGAGGATGTGACCCGGCTGCTTCCATTGTGCGGGATGCCAACAGCCTTGTGCTGTCGCTCCCCCCCGCCCCTCCCCCGCGCCCCCTGCGTTTGCTTGCATACCGCCAGAGGTGGTAACGGAGGGGCAGCCCTGGCGAATCTGAGATGGCAGCAACCCGAGACAAAGCGGGAGGGGGCAGAGGAGGCGCTGACGAGGGGCGTGGCAGCTCAATGTTGTGACTCACACAAGCACCCTCTGCTGTGCTCCATTTCCCCTTGGTTTCTCGCAAGCAGAGGTGGAAGCAGCATTGGCCAGCCTTGGGCAGCAGCAGCCCGAGGCGGTGAGGGAGGGGGCGGTGGAGGCATGACGAAGGGGGTGAAGACCGCAGCACTGTGTTGTGATGCATAGAGGCAATTGACTCCCCTCTGCGTTCCTCCCCCCACAGGCAGAGGTGGAAGCAGCATTGGCTAATCTGAGGCAGCAGCAGCCAGAGGCGGTGAGGGAGGGGGCGGTGGAGGCATTAAAGAAGGGTGTGGCGGCGCACCATGCGGGGTGCCTCCCCCCCTGGAAGGGGTTTGTTGAAGACCTGTTTCAACGGGGCTTGGTTAAGGTGTGTGTGTGTGTGTTTGTCGATGCAGTTTGTGCGCAGCTATATGCTACAATTTCAATCCACAGCCCCTCTTTCCGTGTAAACTTCTCTGGTCCTCGCCTCCTCCCCCATCTCTTCCCATCTCGGTCCATGTGCCTATATGACACGTGGCACCTCTCTGGTTCTGCCACATACTACTCTCCTGTCTCCCCCATCTAGACATGGGCAAAAAAAATCGCATCTCATCGCATTTAATCGCGTTTTGCGATGGCGATGTTTTTTTTTTTTTTTTTTAATCATCGCGCGATGCGATGAATTAATATCGCGCGATTTGATTTAAATCGCATTTGTATCGCGCTAAAAAAACGCAATTTAAATGCGATATGCGAATTTTTTTAAATCGCGCGCGATATTGCACTGAAACCCACTCTGAAACGCACTACGAAACCACACTGGTTATTTGCACTTTAGCTTACGACTGCCCGTGAGTCAATTTCCCCGCAGCCATGTTTTTTTTCTGTGTTTTTGGGGTTTTTTTTATTCTGTTTTAAAACGCGATGCGGTTTAAAATCGCATTGCGCGATTTAATTAAATATCGCATGCGGTTTTTTAATACATCGCGGGTAAAATGCGATGTGCGATTTTTATTTTTTATTTTTAAATAAATCGCGCGATGCGACTTAAAATCGCATCGCTTTTTTAAACATCACACCTGCACTGCATGCGATGCGATTTAAATCGCAATCGCGTTTTGATCATGCCTACCCCCATCCCTCCCCTTTGCACACAAGCCAGGTAACCCTGTGTTCGCCACGGAAACCCTCTCAGCCGTTTTCAACAGGTCTACTCGCACTACCGTGCTCTCTGCTCTGCCCCTCCCCCCACTCCTAGACATGGCAAAATGCGATTGCGACTTAAATCGCATCGCATTGGGGGGCGATTTAATTAAGTGCGATGCGATTTTAAATCGCATCGCACGATTTAATTTCTGGAAATATTGCACACCGCGTTCTGCGCGCGATGAATATTAAAACCGCATGCGGTTTTTTATTAAATCACGCGATGCGATGTAAAATTGCATCGCAATTTAAAACAGAGTGGAAAAACACCCCAAAAAAACAGAAAAAAATCATGGCTGCAGGGAAATTGAATCACGGGCATCTAGAGTGCAAATAAATAGTGTGGGTTCGTAGTGGGTTTCAGTTCAGAGGGGGTTTCAGTGCGACATCACGCGCCATTTAAAAAAAAATAAAATAAAAAAAAAAAAAAAAAAAAAAAAAAACCACGCATATCGCATTTAAATCACGTTTCCCAGCGCGATAAAAATGCGATTGAAGTTAAATCGCGCGGTTAACAATTCATTGCATCGCGCGATATCATTATTAAAGAAAGAAAGAAAGAAAGAAAAAAACACGCAATCGCAAGAACGCGATTAAATGCGATGCGATGCGATTTTTTTTGCCCATGTCTCTCCCCTCTCTCAACACGTCACCTTTTACCCTCTTCCCCTTTATCCGTTATTCCCCCATCCCCCACCCCGCCCCCCCCCCTCAGGTGGTATTCGCCACGGAGACGCTATCAGCTGGCATCAACATGCCGGCTCGCACCACTGTGCTCTCTGCCCTCTCCAAGCACCTAGGCGGGTACGGTGATTGGCATGCATTCTCAGGCTTGTATGTTGACACGTACGGTATGTATGCACTAAGTGTTGCTATTTGCTTCCATCGAGCACCAACATGCCGGCTCGCACCACTGTGCTCTCTGCTCTCTCCAAGCACTTAGGCGGGTACGACGCTAGCCGTGCGTTCTTACCTTGGTATGATGACCAGTACGGTATACTGTTGCTGCTATTGAGTCGATTCAAAAGCCAGCTTCTTTTCCTTCTTTTCTCTCTTCCCGTGAGTAACGCAGGGCGCAGCCTCCCGTCAGCCAACGCCCTTCTAAAGGTGGCGGGGCGGGCGGGCAGGAGGCGCAAGGACAGGCAGGGGCAAGTGGTGCAGACGCCCTTTGATTCCACTCCATCTCCTGCGCCTCCCACCTCTCTTCTTCCCCTCCTCGCCCAACAGGGGTAACGCGGGGCGCAGTCTGCTGTCAGCGAATGCATTGCTGCAGATGGCAGGGCGGGCGGGCAGGAGAGGCAAGGACCGGCAGGGGCACGTGGTGGTGGTGCAGACGCCCTTTGAGGGCGCGCAGGACTGCTGCCGCCTGCTGCTGGGGGGCGCTGATCCCCTCGTCTCGCAGTTCACGGCTACTTACGGCATGGCGCTCAACCTGCTGGGGGTAAGCGTGGTGTAAGTTTTGAGTCGACTCAACTTCCAGGGGGTCTCAAAACAGTGAGTGAGTGAGTGGGTAAGCAGTTTTGAGACGACCTGCTAGGGGGGGCGCTGACCTGCTAGGGGGGGCGCTGACCTGCTGGAGTCTCAGTTTACGGGCACCTATGGCTTGGCACTCGACCTGCTGAAGCCTGGGGGCGATTTTGGTATTAAGGAGCCTCGAATCTTGATTGCTGGTGGTGGGGGGGGGGGCTGACCCGCTGGTATCTCAGTTCGCTGCAAGTTTTGGCACGGCGCTCAACCTGCTGGGGCTGACTTGAGTTCTGAGGTGATCGACATATCACATGCGTTTCCCGTCTTCGCTCCTTGCCCTCCCCTTTCACTACTTCGCAATCCTTTCTTGCCTCGGTCATGACCCATTCGTTTTCCTCACACGCCCCCATCCCTCCTCTTCGTTTCTCTCATGCGTCCATCCCACCTCTCACTCGTTCCCCTCGCGCGCCCCCATCCCTCCTCTCACGCGTGTGCTGGTCTCACAGGGCGCGCCAGTGTGGCAGGAGAAGAGGGACGCCAGTGACTCCAACCAAGCTGACCCAGCCAATGGCGTGGCAGATGCTGGCAGTGGTGCTGGCGAGTCTACCGTAACCGCAGCAGCAACAGCAGATGTGGAAGGGGCAGCAGCAGAGGAGTCAGCAACGGCGTTGGTGGCGGTGCGGCGGGGCCGCAGCATGGAGGAGGCGAAGGCGCTCATTGAGCGGAGCTTTGGGAACTACCTGGCCAGCGAGGTGAGTGGTACAGCAGACTGCAGAGCATGCCATGTGCCATGGCATGCTATGCAGCATCAGCAGCAACCCTCGCTGCATGGAAGAAGCGAAGGCGCTCACTGAGAGGAGCTTTGGGAACTACCCGGCGAGCGAGGTGAGTAGAACATGATGATGCTTCCGTGTCAGTGGGACTGCTGTACAGCATCATCAGGGGTAGCGCTTGCAGCATGTAGGATCCGAAGGCTCTCGTTGAGAAGAGCTCTGGGAATTACCTTGCGAGTGAGGCGAGTGGTGCATGTTGCACGCTATGCCACGGTGTGCATGCTGCATAATCATCATCGTTAACACTCGGAGCATGCAGGAGGCGAAGTCACTCAATGAGAAGTGCTTCGGAGAATACCTTGGCTACAGAGATGAGTATAGTGTGATGATGGTAGTGAGGTGTGTTGGGCATGCAACATGGGCATGCAACATGGGCATGCAACATGGGCATGCAACATGGGCATGCGACATGGGCATGCAACATGGGCATGCGACATGGGCATGCAACATGGGCATGCGACATGGGCATGCAACATGGGCATGCGACATGGGCATGCAACATGGGCATGCAACATGGGCTCGTTGCTGCTACAGCTCGTTGCTGCTACAGCTCGTTGCTGCTACAGCTCGTTGCGGCTACAGCTCGTTGCGGCTACAGCTCGTTGCGCTCCCCCCCCATCACTCCCAGCCGTTTTACCCTCGAGCGTTTTACACGAATTCCCTCACTGGAGCTCATCACGGCACGAGGGCAGCGCTGGAAGAGACAGTGCAGCAGCTGAGGGCGCAGGGGGGGGGAGGGGGGGTGGATTGAGGCAGAGTTGAGGCGGGAGGAGGAAGAAGTGCCACTTTACTTTGGAGACGTCTCAAAACGCACTTGCCTCGTTCCTCTTTCCACTTGCCCCCCTCGCCAGGTGCTGCAACAAGCGAGGCAGCAGCTGGCAGCGCTGGAGGAGAGGGTGGGGCAGCTGAGGGCGAGGAGGGAGGAGATCGAGAGGGAGATGAGGCGGGAGGAGGAGGGCGCGGATGGGGTGTCGGGCGCGTTCAGAGAGATGGTGCAAGAGTTTGTGGTGAGTTGTTCGGGGAGGTTTTTTGGGTAATAGATGGGAGGATGGGGTTGAAAGGAGGAGGTGGGTGGGTGGGTGGGTGGGTGGGTGGGTGGGTGGGTGGGTGGGTGGGTGGGTGGGTGGGGGCGTCCAGCCTTTTAAAGAGATGTTACAAGAGTTTGTGGTGAGCAGTGCAGAGAGGCCGCGTGGTGAGAGATGGGGAGATGTGGGTGGGAGGGATGTGCTAGACATGGGCATGGGATGAGCCGAGCCGGTTTCGAGCCGGCATCGAACCGGGCTTCAACTGAGCTGAGCCGAAGCCGAAGCCGAATCCGAAGCCGAGCCGAAAACGAGCCAGCTCGGCTTGGCTCCTTTTTTAAGCTTTGAAGCCGCGTGTCCAGGTTCTTGGGGCCTCGGCAGGACAGTTGGTGTGATGCTTAGGGTGGGACTTAGAGGCTGGTCAGCCGCGGTTTAGGGTCGCTTTCAAGAATCCCGGACAAGGATTTCCCCGTATGGCATCTTGTTGTTTCTAATAGAACTTCTATCACCTACTGGGCAGTGAGCGGCACAATGACACAACCAAGCGTAACATGTCATGTCAGACAAGTCTGCCTAGTGGGGCTGATGCCTGTAAGCTCATTTGCTGGGTTCATCGGAAAAGGAAGCACAAAATTCGCTAGCCTGGCCTGAAGAGAACACAGCACAGGTTCAGAGAGCCAGTACATGCCCATATCGTGCACTAGGAGAGAGATGTCTAGGTGTATACTGCACTTGGAGAGTCTAGGTGTCTAAGGGCTAGGGCGGGTGGTCATGCTTTCAGAAAGCGCAACCCTAAAACGAGGGTTGCGCTTTCTGAAAGCCGAAAAGTGTCCCCAAGGCTTGGAGTGGCGTTTGAAGCCGAGCCAAAACGAACCGGCTCGGCCTCGGCTCGATGCCAGTGAAGCCGTGAGCCGAGCCGAGCCACCAGCCCGGCTTCAACGGGCCAAGCTGAGCCGGGACGGCTCAGCCTAAGAAAAAACCGGCCGAGCCGTGCCCGCTCGGACTTGAGCCCATGTCTGCACCATCCCCACACCATCCCCACACCATCATCACACCATCCCCGCACCATCCGATGAGCTGGTGAGGGAGATGAGGTGGGAGGAGGAGGAGGGCGTGTGTGTGTGGGGTTGAGTGGGTTTAACCTTCAGGGCGATGGTTGTTGTGTTCGTGGTGGCAACGGTGGCACCGGCAAGCCTTCCAGCAGCGAGCAGCCACCATAGACCCCCCCGGATACAAACAACAGGCTTTGCTTATTCTCTGACCCCTCCCACTTTTCTCCCTCCCCACCACCCCAGGCCACGCGCCACACGGTGGCAGCACTGCAGCGCCAAGCCTTCCAAGAGAGGGCAGCAGTGATGGACCCTCAGATTCAACAGGCGCTGCTGTGGGCTGACGAGCAACCCCATGCCGCTGCTGCTGCACCTGCTGTTGCTGCTGTTGCTGCTGCTGTTACAGAAGATTCTGATGCAACTGGAACTGCCACTGCTGCAGACGGTGCTCTTCTTCCTGTTCCCACACCTGTCGGCTACAGGCTCGTGGTAACCGCGCAGTTCCCGGACCTGGCGTCCGGGGCTGTGCGGTCGGTTCGGGGGCTGCTGGTGGGGCAGCTGGAGGAGCTGCCACCTTTCCTGCAGGAGGAGGGGGAGGAGTGGGCGGAGGAGGGGGGAGTGGGGGAGGAGGGGGAGGAGAGGGAGGGTAAGATGAGGGAATCGGGGAGGGGAAGAGGGGCGGCTAGGGAGTTGAGGAGAGGGAAGGGAAAGAGTGGTGGAGTGGGAAGGGGGAATGGACGGGACGAGTCGGGGAGGGACCTCCAAGGATTGAATGCAGTGGCTCGATTGGCCGGGCTGGACAGCAGCCAATCAGCCGACCCCTCTCCTTCCTCCTCTTCCTCCTCTTCTTCCTCTCCTTCACCCTCCTCCTCCCCCTCCTATCTGGCAATCGTTGGCGAGGATTCCTATTGGTACGTCCTGCCCTCGCCCTGCATCCGCCAGCTAATCAGAGCGCAGTACGACCCCACTGACCAATCAGAGCTCGCCATGTCTGCAGCAGACGGGCGGCGGCTCGTTGGCACTTACCTCTGGCCGGCTAGCCGGCAGGAAGAGGCGGATGGGCCGGCTGGGTGGCAAAGGGTGGCAAAGCTGAAACTCTTCCTTCCGCCCGTTCCGGAGACGCTGCAGGGATGGCTGAGGGGAGGGGGAGGGGAGAAGGGAGGTGACGGAGAGACAAGAGAGCAGGGAGAGGGAGCGGAAGGCAACGAGTTTCCTTCAGAGTTGGTAGGCGAGTCACAACAGCCCCTGAGCTGGGTGTCCACCGCGTACCCCACTTTCAGCATCTGGCGCATCAAATCCCAACACCCCCTCCTCCACCTCTCCTCCGCCATCCGCTTCCCCCACGGCTGGACTGCCCCCTCCTCCCAAGAAGACTCCAACCACCTCTCCCTCCCGGCCTCCCTTGCCTCCCTGGAAGCCTCCCTCAAGACCCACAAGCAGAAGCTGTCGCAGATAAGAAAGAGAGTGAAGGCCAATGCGGTGTATAAGAGGCGGCAGCAGCAGATAACGGAGAGGGGGAGGTGCGAGTATGAGGAGGGGAAGCTGGGGCGCAGGGTGGAGGGGCTGAGGAGGCGGATTGGGAGCATGCAGCCGGCAGGGTGGCAGGAGTTTGTTCAGGTGGTTCAGGTGCTGGCTCAGGCGGACGCGCTGGATCGGGCGAGCAGCACACTCATGCCATTGGGGGAGATTGCTGCCAAGGTACTGTGCTTTGGGAGGGGGGGGGCAGGCAGGCTGGCAAGCTAAGGTGTTGGATTCTGTTGCCAAGGTGTGGTACTGATGTTGAAGGGCTGCTGGCTCAGGTGGATGTGCTGGGTCGGGCGAGCAGCACACTCATGCCGCTGGGGGAGATTGCTGCCAAGGTACTGTGCTTTGGGAGGGGGGGGGCAGGCAGGCTGGCAAGCTAAGATGTTGGATTCTGTTGCCAAGGTGTGGTACTGATGTTGAAGGGCTGCTGGCTCAGGTGGATGTGCTGGGTCGGGCGAGCAGCACACTCATGCCGCTGGGGGAGATTGCTGCCAAGGTACTGTGCTTTGGGAGGGGGGGGGCAGGCAGGCTGGCAAGCTAAGATGTTGGATTCTGTTGCCAAGGTGTGGTACTGATGTTGAAGGGCTGCTGGCTCAGGTGGATGTGCTGGGTCGGGCGAGCAGCACACTCATGCCGCTGGGGGAGATTGCTGCCAAGGTACTGTGCTTTGGGAGGGGGGGGGCAGGCAGGCTGGCAAGCTAAGGTGTTGGATTCTGTTGCCAAGGTGTGGTACTGATGTTGAAGGGCTGCTGGCTCAGGTGGATGTGCTGGGTCGGGCGAGCAGCACACTCATGCCGCTGGGGGAGATTGCTGCCAAGGTACTGTGCTTTGGGAGGGGGGGGGCAGGCAGGCTGGCAAGCTAAGGTGTTGGATTCTGTTGCCAAGGTGTGGTACTGATGTTGAAGGGCTGCTGGCTCAGGTGGATGTGCTGGGTCGGGCGAGCAGCACACTCATGCCGCTGGGGGAGATTGCTGCCAAGGTAAGGGGACAGATGGCAGGTGGTTGAGATGAGGCAAGCAGCGCACTCATGCTGCTGGGAGAGATTGTTTTTACCAGCATGATGGTGAGCTGGGGTGCTCTTGATCTTTCCCACCCTCTCTGCTTCATTGTAAGGTAAGGTTCTGGGTTTGCCGGGGTTCCCCCTCTCCCCCTTTGAACCCTCTCCCCCCCTCTCCCGCTTTGACCCCTCTCCCCCCTCTCCCCCTCTCTCCCGCTTTGACCCCTCTCCCCCCTCTCCCCCCCTCTCCCGCTTTGACCCCTCTCCCCCCTCTCCCCCCCTCTCCCCCTTTGACCCCTCTCCCCCCTCTCCCTCTTTGACCCCTCTCCCCCCCTCTCCCTCTTTGACCCCTCTCCCCCTTCCCTCCTCTCCCCTTCCAGGTGCGAGGGGTCGACAAGTTGTGGATAGCACTGGCGGCCTCCCACCCTTCTCTGCCATGCTGTGAGATACCTTGTGTCAACCCTCCCTCTCCATGTCTCTCCCCCACTCCCTTCTCCACCCCTTCTTCTCCCCCTCCCTTCCCTTCTCCCCCTTCCCTTCCAGGTGCGAGGGGTGAACGAGTTGTGGATAGCAGTGGCACTCTCCCACCCCTCTCTGCCACGCCTCTCTCCCCCGGCCATCGCTGGCTGCTGTGCTGCGCTGGTGTCTGAAGGCATGCGCATGAGAACAGCTGATGGCAGGTTAGAAAAACAGATAGAGAGGGAGCGTGGCAAAAGCACAATGGTGGTAACAGTGTGACTTGCTTGCTGATGCGCCAAGGCAAACGTGTCTGAAGGCCTGAGCCAAGGCAGACGTGTCTGAAGGCCTGTGCCAAGGCAGACGTGTCTGAAGGCCTGTGCGTGAGACGAGCTGACAGCAGGTGTGCAGTGGGACTGGAGGGCTAGGGCAGCAGAAGTGCACTGTTGCCGACTGAGTCGAGTAGCCAGGCGTCTAGCTCCACCTCACTTCCTCCCTCACCTTTTGTTTTCCATTCACCCCATGAGTTTACCTTCACTCTCTCTCCCTTGTCCTTCCCTTCCCTCCCACCCCTCCACTTCGCCCTCCTTCCCCTAAGAACCTTCATGAGAAACGCAACACCAGGTGGACGGGTTTTGACGTGCCTCAAAACACACTCTTTTTCCTCTATCCAACGCCCTCCCTCCCACCCTCCCTGCCCCTCCAGTTCGCCCTCCTTCCCGTACGAACCTTCCTGGGAGGTGCAGCAGTGGGTGGACGAAGCAGAGGAGCGTCGTGATTGGCTTATGCGTCTCCAACTCGCTGCCAACGTGGCAATCCCTGCTGACCTGGACGCGCAGTTTGCAGGCGTGGTGGAGGCGTGGGCCCAGGGTGTGACGTGGCGCCAGCTCATCACTGACTGTGCGGGGCTGGATGAGGGTGACATCGCACGGCTGCTGAGGCGCACCATTGATCTGCTCTCCCAGGTGCGTGATTCATGAACATACTCACGTCATCTTGTCGTCCCTTGAGCTTGCATGGTTTTTTTTAGGCGCCTTTAGACAATCCCGATGATATGTTCTCGTGCTGTTCATAAGAATGTCACACCATCTTTTCTTACAATGATGCTTCATCTGCCTGCCTGTCACGCCGGCGCCTCTTTTCGCCTCTTTGCCGCTTCTCCTTTTCAGTGCTCCATCTCACTTCTCTTCCGTCCCTCCATCCATCCCTCAATCTATCTCTCTCCCTCTCTCCCACATGTACAGATTCCGTACCTACCTGGCATAGATCCCACGTTGGCCAAGGCATCAAAGCAGTCAGCTTACGTCATGGAGCGTCCGCCAATCTCGGAGCTTATTGGCTGATAAATTTATGAAGCGTCTATCATCACCGTTTAAAAAAAAAAATGCAGCTCATGCGGTATGTAGGAAGGGCATTACATGCATGCAGTGCAGTGAGTGCTTTGCCATATAGCTGAATGTTTCACACAAGGTGGTTGTCATTGCATACAAGGGACGAGTGAAAATGATTATTAATCAAATATTGCTGTGGGTTCCCTGTTATGAGTGTTTCACAATAGGCGCAGGAACGGATGTCGAAGTTAAGAATAATCTCATGTGGTACAATGAAATGACGAAGCAAGATATAGGAACACCAGAGCAATTCTAACCGCGCGATCGAGCAGGTTCGTCGACCCCATCCGACGACCCGGAGCGCTTCGGCGTGACGCGGAAATGGTTCCATGCCGTGTTCGGGCCGAAGCTAGGGCTGCCGGTGCCATGTGGGGTTTGACGTACGCGGTAGCGGTGTGGCGAGGCGAGCCAAGGAATGGAAAATTCCTTACATATCCAGCCAGCTGTAACGCAATACGTCAGATTGTCGCATATTACGCTGTGATGCAAACGACCCACACGCGGAAACCTTAGGCAACTTCGCTGCTTCGCGGGGCACTCCCGCGTTGCGAATAAGGCCCCTGGTTGAGCAGCCCAGGTGTTTCGCGAGGCAACTCGCGAAGGCTTTGAGCAATCCAGCTAGTTTCGCGAAGCGCATCACGAAAGGCCTTGACAGCTCCGGCTGTTTCGCGAACCGCCTCGCGAATGAGTAGCAACTCCTCCTCTGTCGCGAAGAACCACGCGTCTTCGCGAACCTCCCAGGCTGACAAGATTCCAGACTACTCTCGCCATGTCTCGAAGCTGGGTGATGGTTCTAGAGCCACCACTACAAGTTCCGCCTCTTCTATAAATACCATCTCCAGGTGAGAAGCAAGCATCCAACCACCTACAATCTTCTATACTGTACTACAATTCCTTCGATTCACGACAATCTCAAGGCTTAGACAAACGCTTGTAGAATACCTGACTTCAACGACGGTCTATCTTAGCCAGCACCGGCATCGATTAGAAAAAGGCTTTCATTAGTGTATGGCATTCGGTATGTCGGATCTGCTCTTCGAGCGACAGCAGCACCACCTTTTCACATCGCCTTACACCACGCATCAGCATCATGATCATCAGTCACAGGCGTCGCCTTGGAACTTCGCCACCTCGCCGTCGTCGCATTTCGGCGATCCTTTCGGGTTCGACGGCGCTTTCGACTCCCCAGCGGGTTACCATCTGGCGCAGAAACGACGCGATCATCATGAGGAGCTCCGCCAGCAGCAGCTTGCGCGGCAGCAGGAGATAGCGCGGCAGCAGCAGCTTAAAGTAGCGCAGGAGCTCAGCGCGCGGAAACAGGCAGCCAAAGCGCGCAGGGCGCAGCATGTAGAGACTCAAACGAAGGCTCGTCCGACCCAGCAGCAGCAAGACGAGCTGGCTATCCGTCAGATACCCGTCCAACGCCCCGCAAGCAGTAAGAGCCCCGAAACGCAGGCAGCTTCGCCAAGGGCAGCCGTCGCCGGCATTCCTGTTACTAAAATCGCTTCCAAATCGTTACTAACGGCTGACGACGCTGCTCGGAAGCTGCAAGCGGCATGGAGGGGCTACTCCGTACGTCAAGGCAAGCCGCTCGAACTGGCTCGATCCATAGCTGACGTTCGGAAACTGGCTCGGGAGATGGGCGCGCAGCTTCGGGATAGTGAACTCATCGCGAAGATGGTTTCCGAGCCTCTGGAGAAGCTTCGGGTGAACGAGACGATCATGAGCTGGCTGCTTCGGCTGGATGAAGTGCAGTCGCGGAACCAGGACATTCGGAACTTGCGGCGGGACATGGCTCGGAAGCTGACGAAGCTGCTAGACAGGGTCGACACTCTCTCAACCAGCCGACCACCCAGTGTTGGAAACATCAGGACAGCGGCTGTCGCAGAAACTGGAACCCAAACTGAAGCTGGAAGTGATACTGAGTATGAGGATGCCCCCATGGAGGAGGAGGCTGAGAACCCCCTTGAAACTGCTGCTGGCTCTGGTGTTTCGGCAATGGACGATTCAAGAATGGATGTGGACGGGGGTTGCTCGAGCGAGGATGGTTGCCACAGCAGCCAGTGCAGTGAGGACGGTGATATTAGCAGCGGGAACGCTGGTGTTGCTACTAGCACCCAAGAGGGCGGGAGAGTGGCTAAGAGAATGAAGCAGAGGCAATGGAGGGACGCCTTGTGGCAATGGAAGGAGAGAATGGCTGGGAGGAGAGGTGGTTTGAGGAGTGTCTAGGAGGATGCTTGAACATGAGACGGAATGTACCTTAGTTTAGTATGCTTGTACGCAGAGATTATGTTATGGAGGATGAATTGCACAAACCGTACGTAGTGTAACTATGGCCGATGTACAAACGTGAATAATGTCATTCATATTTTCTTACATGTGTGTGTGTGCGGCTTTCGTGTGCACTTCACACAGCATTACGGGCCATAATTATCCGCTGGGACATTGGTTGGTTGTCCTTCTTGCGAATCAATGAGCCTGAGGTCAATAACGCATCATGACTCAACACACCCACCCATTTTCCCCACCGACCAGCGAACCGCAGCGAAACCTTCCGGCTGGTCACTGGGCGATCCACTGACAGCCATTTCCACTTGCAGATCTCGCGGCCGCGCCGCAATCACTACTTTCTCCAGGGGAAGAAGAACCCTAGGACGGTGAATGTGCCTTAGACCGTGTTTCGTGCAAATTTTCTGGCAAAATGCCGGTCCAAGCAAAGGGAGTCACTAATTCTCCGAGTCAATTTCCCTGCATTGAAGTATGAACTCCGATCCAAATGGCTAATTTTGACGGAGTTCAGCACACACTTTCTTCCTGCAGTTCAGCGAGTACAAGTGACGGAATTGACCACACGAACTGCTCACAACACATTTCGAGTTTCTGCACACGATGTCTATATTTTCAAACCTACCGTTTGCACCGGAGCGTGGCGCTTGAACTGTGGCACACGCAGCCGACAGGTGCACCTGGTGAACTGAAGGGAATTCTGAGGAACACCAATCAAATGAGCTGTTTCCCAAGACAGGGAATTTCGCGAGATGTCGCCAGCTATTTCGCCGCCACCACCCGGCCCAGCACCAACCTCGACGACCTGATGAAGCTCACCAAAAACGCTCAACCAAGCTGGGATGATCTTACACTAAAAGGGTAGCTACCCTGAATGCCGAGAAATTAAGGGAAGACTGATCCACGAACCCAGATTTTATTAGGTTTGGTTCTGCCGAAAATCTGAAAGTTGCCGAATGGACTAGGCTTCCGTTCTGATGCATTCCGTGAAATCATTTCATCAATCCTTACGAGCCAGGCTCACAGCATGGAGGAGAACTTCCATACACCACTGCGAAAAAAAATAAAAAATCTCGGTCACATCATCTAACGTTGTTAGACTTTCCAGGAGTTAGCCATGCGTTTCGAGTACGTGTGAGTGAAAGCCATACACGTCCATTCCAGCCTCCACTTTGCCAGGGTGCCATTTCGACGATTCCGAGAGATAATTCCTCGGATCCCGGAAAAAAAGGGAAATTTTTGGACCCTAGACAAGCACCTTCCTCGGATCCCAGCATTAGCCCTGCTTCCATCCCCTTTCCTCTCTCCCTTCTATCACCTATCCCCCCAATTCCTCTAATCCATCCGCACCTGCAGTGCATTCGTATCACTACAAATACCCGACACTGAAAACACTAAAACCACACCTGCTTTCAAACCTATCCGACACAAGCCCTTGTCCACCTCGTGATCGTCTGGCGCCACGTCGCCACGCCTATCCAGCCACGCCTGCCAATCACCTCGTTCGCCATCTTTGCACGATTCCTTCGATCGCATTCCTCACATCGAGAACCGTCGCTCCGCGTCAACTCCACCTAAACCCCAGTTTCTTTTGTCGCCGTTTCCGAAACGACAGACCGTCGCTAAGTATCGCTCGCGTCGCATCCATGGCCCGCCTCTTCGCGCTATCCCTGCTCGCTCTCAGCTGTGTGCTGCTGTTCGCGTCGCAGGGCGTCGCCACGCGCGTCCCACCGTCGTCGCAGAGCCCTGGCGCGCCCTCGTTCGCGAAGAACATTCGTCGAAGGCTGTTGGGGTTCAGTCGCTTCAGCTGCGGAAGGTCGGGGCTCAAGGGTTACACCTCCAAGGCCGGCTTGACATCAGGGTAAGAGAGGATGCCACGAGGATTCGTTACTACAGTCATCCATTACTACTACAGTCACGCAAACGAGCCATCCGGGAGGTTTCCGCGTATGATTCCTTACACTCCTCATAGTCATCCGTTACTACAGCTTCTCACATTCAACCCGTAACTTTTCCCCTCTTTTTTCCCGATTCCGTGCTTCCTGCGCCACCCCTTCTGGAATGTCACCAAAGAGAAGAGTGAATAATGCCATACTAAGAATTATTATGGAATGGCGGCGGTGATGCGTCAGGAGCCAAGGCATCCAGATGCGCTTCTCGCTGCGGCGCTAGTAACGCATCTGCGCCCCGCCGTGATCCCCCTTATTTCCCCCATCATCCCAAATCTTCAACTTGCTCCCATCATCCCAAATCTTCAACTTGCTCCCATCATCCCAAATCTTCAACTTGCTCCCATCATCCCAAATCTTCAACTTGCTCCCATCATCCCAAATCTTCAACTTGCTCCCATCATCCCAAATCTTCAACTTGCTCCCATCATCCCAAATCTTCAACTTGCTCCCATCATCCCAAATCTTCAACTTGCTCCCATGCATTCCCCTCGTGCCAGCCTCACACTTCACTGGAAGGCCACCAAGGGCAAGACAGTGAAATTGGCGGTGGTGGCGTCCGGAGCCAAGGCAGCGGGGTGGTTCGCCGTGGGTTTCTCGCCCAATGGCAACATGGGGGGCAGCAACGTCGTCGGCACTGACGCTTCGGGCAGCCCGGTGACGAAAGATCTCGTTGGTCAGTCGTCCGCGAATGACGCGACGTGGACCGTTGGATCGGGCTCGATCACCACGGCGGGCAGCAAGGTCACCATGAAGTAAGTGGGACAATTCTTTTGAAAGTGATGGGACGTTTCTTGAAAAAATAGCATGCCCATTGTCCCACAGTTGCTTGAAAGCGGCTCTCTCTCCCGCCCCCACGCTCTTTTTCTCTCTCCCTCTCGTTCTCGTCCTCTCTCTCTCTCTCTCTCTCTCTCTCTCTCTCTCTCTCTCTCTCTCTCTCTCTCTCTCTCTCTCTCTCTCTCTCTCTCGCTCTCTCTCTCTCGCTCTCTCTCGCTCTCTCTCTTGCTCTCTCTCTCTCTCTCTCTCTCTCTCTCTCTCTCTCTCTCTCTCTCTCTCTCTCTCTCTCTCTCTCTCTCTCTCTCTCTCTCTCTCTCTCTCTCTCTCTCTCTCTCTCTCTCTCTCTCTCTCAACTGCATTCATCCCTCCCACCCCTCACACCAGGTTCACGAAGATGAAGGGCGATGGGGCATCCGTGAAAGTGCACTCCCAGAGTGACAACAACATTGTGTGGGCGTATGGCGATGGGGACACCGTCTCCATGCACAATGGAGCGTAAGTATACACTGTCTCCCCTTGAGGCGCCTCAGAAGCACTGTCTCTATACACAAAACAATGGAGTGTAAATCAGTCGTTTCTGCGTGCGGCCGTGTTGACAATCACCTAACGCATAATCATCTGTCCCTTGCGTGTCTTGTGTGCTGTGCAGTGGTGATGCATCGATCAACTTTGCTTGCGGCTGCCCTATGTTCCAGAGCAAGTGCTAAGCAGTCCGACCTGTACTGCTTCCAGCTGAAACCTGCTGCTGAGCACCTACCAGCAGATGTACAAATATCCTGGTGGTGTGGTAATTGGGGCTCTCCTAGCTGTTAGAGATTGCTTGGAAAATGGTGCTGAGTTTGGGTGGGAGACTGCGCCATAGGAACCGTCCATAGTGCTCTTCTGTACGCGCAAGATGTGATGCACCTTTGCTGGGTGCAAATGAGTGAGCACTTTGGACGCACCCTAAGGAGGCTGATTGTCTAAATACAGTATGCAGGGCCTCAGATTACACTCGCTGGGTGTATTATTCCAGTGGATGTTATCCCAGCTTCCCCACTAAAAACACCCGGCAAATCGATTTTTGAAATTTTAGGATTGTACCCTGTAAGAGTACGCACCTATCTAGCCTATAAGACATATACACAATATGTTTGACACACCCCCTAGGCTAGATGAGAAGCAGTGTTTGGCAAGAGACACATAGCTCAGGGTGGCACTACTAGTCCAACCTCTAAGGCAAGGGTCTGAAGACCAGTCTGCAAGTGTACAAAGGAAACAAGAGCAACCCAGGGCGGCACTACTAGTCCAGCCACTAGAACAGGAGCCACAAGGCCAGTCAAGTTAATATAAAATATAGTAGGTCCTAGCAAGTGAGAAGCTACAGGAACTAGACCAAGCTATACACAGTGCTGCTGATGATCTTTAGGTGCAAGCGCCTTCATAAAGATATCAGCTGTGTTGGCACCGGAGGCCATGTGAACTATGCGGGCCTGGCAGCGCTGCTGAAGCTCACGCAGGAGGAAGTACCGCAGCTGGATGTGCTTCGCTCTGCCCTCCAATCGAGGCTCCTGACACAGGAGGATCATGGCCCTGTTGTCAGCGTACAGGATCTCACCTAAGTCTATGAGCAAGAAAGTCATGGCAGCGGAGCTCCTGTGCCGCCATAACACCAACGTAGATCTCAGCCTTACAGCTAGATTGTTCAACAGACGACGAGCGGGTCGACCTCCACGAGATGGCGCCTGCACCAAGGCTAAAGCAGTAGCCCCGGGAGGACCTGAGTGTCTCACCGTCGTCTGCCCACAAAGCGTCTGTGTGCCCTGTAAGGACCATTGGCCCGCATCCTCCTAACACTAGCCCCATGCGTAATGTACTTGCTAGATAACGCAAAACCCTCTTAGCGGCAGACCAGTGCTGTGGTCGGTGTCTGCCTGTGGCCACAAAGCGAGTCAGGATGCCGAGAGGGTATGCGAGATCTGGACGAGTGCAAGTCACCAGGTAGTACATGAGGGAACCCACCAGCTCTGCGTAAGGATCACTAGGCTCTATAGACTCCTCGAAGACTGGAGCCGAGAGCCTGTTATCTACTGGCAGAGGAGAACTGAAGACTGAACCGCTGAAGGACCGGGCGCACCAAGTGTGACTGTGTAAAGGTGATGGTGCGCGCTGCTCTGTTCCGGGAGATCTGCAGGCCAAGGTAGCATCGCAGCTCTCTTAGGTCAGTGCAGGTGTGTCTCCTCTATAGCTCAGCCTTCACCAAAGCCAGTGCGTCTTTGTTTGCAGTTGCGAAGACCAGGTCGTCTACGTAAACTAGGATGTAGAACGGAGTTTGGCCTGAGCGAACGAAGAGCGAGGGGTCTGCAAACGACGGGAAGAACTGCAGGTCAGCTAACGTAGCACGCAGCGTGTCGTGCCACTTGCGGGGTGCCTGCTGAAGGCCATAAACCGGGCGTCGGAGAAGCCACTGGGTTCCAGGGGCGAAGGTGCCGGTGAAGCCTGGCAAGCGGCGCAAGTAGACCTGCTCGTGCAGACTGCCCTGAAGAAACGCCGTATAGAAGTCAAGGGAGTGCAACTCGTAGTCACACTGTACTGCTACGTGTAGGAGTGCCCGAAGAGTGGTCATCTTCGGGGTCGGGACGAAGGTCTGAAAGAAGTCAACACCCTCGCGCTGACTGAAGCTTCTAGCAACGTAGCGCGTCTTGAACACTGGCGGCTCTCCAGGAGGGCGCTTCACCTTGAAGAGCCACCGGCCATCGACTACGTTCACCCCAGGTGGGGGAACCGCGTCGACGTAAGTGCTGGTGGATCTCCAAGATGCCATTTTCACCTCCATGGCAGTTATCCACTGAGAGGCCCAGGGTCCCGAGGTCGCCTCGGCGTAAACGCGAGCGGTTGGGATGTCAAAGGCGTCTGGGTCACCCTCAGGGACTAGTAGCATGGAGCAGAGATGAGGATCAGCCTTGGACAGGAAAGCGAGCTAGTACTGCCGATCCTCCAGGAAGTCACTGCCAAGGGTAGGAGCACTTCACTTCCGACGGAAGGAGGATAGGCAGGGTAAGAGACCAGAGCAGTGGCGTAGGCAATGCGGCGGGTAGAGGCGAAGTCAGCGATGGCAGCGACAAGCGCATCATGACTCGAGAATGGAACAGACAGGTCGGTAACAAAGGAGGCAAGGACCCGAAGAACAAGAGGACTATTAGCACAAAAGAAGTCAGACAGAGGAGGCGGAGCGACAACAAGCGAGGACGGAGGAGGCGATGGGAGGAGGGGAGGATGAGATGCATGGGAACAAAACAACATAGGGCAAGAGCGCTAAACAGGAGAGAAAGGACGAGTACGGGAGGGACGGCGAGACCAGACGTGAGACGGAGGCGTCTGGTCAGGAGACAGTGGAGGAGACACAAGAGGGGAACGAGGGGGAAAACGAGCTGGAGACGAGTTCGGCGGAAAAAATACAGGGCCGTAGACAAGCAGGGGAGGCGGGGGCGGGGGAGGCGCAGGCGGGCAATTAGGAAAGGGAAGTCCGAGGAGGTGAAGGGCAGACACCGGCTGCGACTGCTCCTGCTGCGTCACGCCGACCATAGAACCTCCAGCTGCACCACGGCTACCTCCGAAACTCTCCACTCCAGCAACCCCATAACAAGAACCCTCTCCAGCACCAGTGCCAGCCCCAAGACCGCCGGGACGAGCCACGACAGGAACCCCAGGACTAGCACTCCAAGAACCAGCACCCCCAGAACGAGAACCCTCTTGTGCACCATTGCCACCCCCGAGATCGCTGGGACAAGCAACGATCGTAACCCCAGGACTAGCACCCTCCTCAACACCACGGCGGCGGCTGCTGCTGCTGTTGCTACGGCGGCGTTGGCGGCTGCTGCAGCGGCGGCGGCGACGGCGGCTACTGCTGCGGCTGCGGCGGCGGCGGAGGAGACACCGGGGCAGAGGCAAGTGGCGAATCTAAAGCCGCGGGGCCTCCGGAGTCACCAGACTCCTCCAATGGGACTACCGACGGGAGGCGAGTGATGTGAGACACACCAGATGGGGCAGGACAGGGAGGGAGAGGAGCAGGGGCTACCGGAGGAGTGGGAACCAGAAATAGGGGTGGGGAAATTGGAAGACCTTGGTGGGGAAAGCGGTGTTAGAAGGAGACAGACTCGTCAAAAGTGATGTTACGCGAGTGAAAGAAGCGGTGAGGATGTGGGTGGTAAAAGTGCCAGTTAAACGCGTCAATGGGGAAACCAAGGAAGTCACAGGGATAGTGCGGGTCGTGAGCTTGTCCGTATCAGAGGCATGGACATGAGCGAGGTAGCCCTAGATGTGGAACGCAGACGCGTCACCAGGGAACCCGGTCCAAAGGAGGCCTGGCGAAACCTGTGGCCACGGGGAGTGAGCCACAGGTTAAGTTGGTGAGTGGAGTAGCGAACGACGAACGGCCACAGAAAATGGGGTGCACCGGCATGGATCATGGAGGTACAAGCCACCTCAATGACCAAACCGATGCGTCACTCAACGATCCCATTCTGTTGCGGGGAGTCCGGCAGGGTGTACGACTGGGTGATGCCCTCCGCACGACAGAATTGGCCAAGCCGGCCGGAGGCAAACTCGCTGCCATGATCGGAATGGAGACGCAGCACAGAGAGGCCGCGATGAACTTGCGTAGCTTCGATCCATGAGATAAGAGCATCAGGCACGTCGGCCTTCTGCTTTAGGGGAAACACCGTGGTATAGCTCGTGTAGTCGTCGACAAGCACTAGGAAGTAGCGCTCTCGGCACGACCCCTGGGGGCTGGGCCCCAAACGCCCAGGTGCAGAGTCTGGAGTGGCGCAGTGGTAGGGGGAAGCGAGGAGGAGTGAGGAGCACAGCGCAGCCAGCCCTCAACGCAAGGCGTGCACGGCAACACAATGAGGGAGGAAGGGCAGGGAGCGACGCAGGGAGACCGAAGACAAGACCGTGATGAGACATGTAACGCAGACGCGGGATTGCGGGGTGACCTAGACGGGTGAGTGAGTGACCAACACGAGCAAGCCGCAGCGACCTGGGTCGCCGCTGGCACCTGGGGGGACGCCCCTACCAGGGGGGAAGTAGTGTCTAGTGTAAACAGGCCAGACATTGGGTCCCGGGGGAACGTGGTCAGAGGGGCACCAGTGGTGGCCTCTCTAAAGAGAGCGTACCGCTCGTGTCCGGGGAACGTAGTGGTGACGCCGAGGTCTTGAAGACAGCTAACACCAACTAGGTTCCTGGAGAACGACGGGATGTGTAGGCCTGTAAGAGAGCCCGAGGGGACTGCCAGGCAGGTAAGGGTAGTGGAACTACGAGCAACTACCGGACCTGAGGAGGGGTCAGCAAGGGCTACAAAGCGGCGTGAGCGCAAAATGGTCACAAAAGAAGTAGGCGGATGCGCCAGAGTCAAGCGTAAAGGAGAGCGAGGCAGTAGCGCCAGCCGGCGGAGGGGCTAGCATAGAACCTAGGCTAAACAAGGCAGGGGGTTCTACGCCTGACGCAACAGAGGAGCCTAGACTACACACAGGGAACACACCTACTCTATGCAGCATTGGATAATATGGTGCAATCACACTAGAGGTATCAGCATACATGACAGACATAGCAGTACTAATCTGATCAATGTCAAGCTCAAAGACACTCGGCGGCGAGCCATGGCGTACTAGCCATAAGGGTTTGATGTGGGAGAGAAGCGGTGACGGAAGAGGTTGTCTAGGCAGCAGTAGCAGCAGGCGGTGGAGTGGCCGGAACTGTCGTAGACGGTGCCGCGGCGGGGGGCGGTCTGACGCTGGTATTGACAAGTGACCGCACTGGAGTCGCCACCAGATACCGAGCTGCGCCCCCCGCCACCACGACCACCGCCACCTGTGTCGTCAGTCCACCATGGCGGCGGGGGTCCCCATGATGACTGATGCTGCTGCGTCGACTATTGTTGTGGCTGCTGCTGCTACTCCTGAGTCTGCTGTGGCTGTTGCTGCTGAGGCTGCGGCTGCTTCTGCTTTTGCTCCGGGGCACCAGCCCCGGTCCCCTCGGCCGAACCACCGTCCCCGCCCCCACCTCCTCCACCCTCCCCAC